AAAAATGACTAAAAGTCGGTAACTTTTGAAATGTTATGACATTTATATGAATATTTTGACTATTTTGTTTTAACATTTATTTATTTTAAGAGCTAAAATGCTAGACCTTTGATTTTTTTTTTAATGTTATGTGGTATGTGTAATATTTAGCCATGGTTTGGTAAAGTCTAATGTTTAATGTGTAGAATAGATTTGTATTGTTTGTTTATATAATAATTGTTTATATGATGATGATAATATTAAAGATTTAGGTTTAAGGAAAAGTTAATTAAATGTTACATCTTTTAATGATTAAAATTATTGAATTTATGTTGAAGTAACTTTAATTCAAAATAGTAAGAATTGGTTAATTAGGTTCGAAAAGTTCATGAATATTAATTTTTTTCTTGTTGTTTCAAGAAATATGTAGATGTGGATTTGACAGGTCACTGAAAGACACAATCAGTCTTTTGGAGGGAAGGTGGGATGATTTGATGAACACCACGATGCACACTTTAGCCGAACAGCGAATGTTTTTGCCTCTCTCTTACGTGACACGGTGTTGGTATTATAGAACAAGGAGAGAATGTCCTGATAGTAGATGTTACATGCTGTATGCTAGTGGAATATTATGTTACTATACTTTATGTAAATTATATTTGTTTTGTTTGTGTTATAATAAAGTTTGACCTATTCATATGCATGTTATATAAAATTTCTCACATAGAGTCCATGTTTAATATATCTAGAACCCAACTCACGATAGGTGTACGAAAATGCATTTTATATTGTTATTATAAATGAAAAGTTTTTAAATCGTTAGAAGAAACTACGAAAAAATGCATGAGGTAGAGAAATTTGTGTGTGGATTTTGTAGATAGTAAAGAAAGTTGGCTTGCATTATTATTAAGTATTGCAGCATGTTTGTATTTACAGTTAACTGGTAAGCCAGAAGTAGAGTATGAAATGAACTTACATATACAAATATTTGTATTAATTTAAACATTAATGCGCATATTTATATAATTTAAATTTTTAGCAGTCAATTCAATATTAAATGAAGTTACTAAATTATGCCATTCAAAAATTGTGTGTTATCAAAAATTTGCATATCTGAAAGAAACATACACAGCTACATTTAAAATGAGAGTTGTACAGTGGCCCCAAAATTGATTGAGTGGTCATATATCATATTACTAGATCATATGTTACACAGGGTGTTTCATAGATCATGGGACAGACTTGGAGGGGTGGTGGAGCGTATTAAAACGTGCATTTTTTGTATAGCAATGTGGGGTCTAAAGTGGCACTTTAAGGCAAGAACGCAAAAACAACAACAAGAGAGAAAATGTTTTTATGTACAAAATCAATGCAAAGTGCTTTTTTGCAGCAATACATTATTCACAATAAATGTTCAAAAAAGGGAACAGTAATAGGTACTACAGCTGTGATTGGCTGGCAATGCAGAGGTAGAGGGTGGTGGTGAGCCGGACAAACCACGATCCGATGCATCAGAGGATCATTTGCAACTCTGATGTCGAGCGTAATGGGTGAGTTTATACACAGGGAAGAAGCTGACATGCATCTTATGTATGGTGCTGCTAATGGGAATGGCAGAGCAGCGTTACGGTTATACCAGGAATGGTTTCCGAACAGGCGTATGCCGAATCACACAATGTTTGAGAAGTTGCATCGGTCTCTGTGTGAAAACGGGTCATTTGAAGCCACCTCTGACACTAGGAGTAGAAGAAGTGCACGACAACCTCACATTGAAGAATCCATCTTGAACGTTGTGCATAAATCACCTCAGACTAGTACAAGAGCTATTGCATGTCGTCTGCAGCTGAGTCATTCCACCATTTGGAGAGTATTGCATGAAAATGCTTTGCACCCATACCATTTGCAGAGAGTCCAAACCTTGCAAAAGACAAATTACCCTCTTTGATTTCATTTCTGTCATTGGTACTTGCAGCAGTGTGCGGCGCAGGCAGATTTCCCATCGGATGTGCTATTCACAGAAAAGGCAACTTTCTCACAGGACGGCATCTTCAATAGCCACAACATGCACATGTGGGCAACTCATAATCCACACGGCACAAGTCCACATGCATTCCAAACCCGCTTCTCCATGAATGTGTGGGCAGGTGTTGTTAATGACTACCTCATCATAGGCCCATACCTCTTACCTGCACGTACAAATGGCTTATGTTATCATATTTTTCTGCAAGAGGTGCAACCGGAATTGCTGCAGGATGCCCTGGTTGTCGTTCATGATCGCATGTGGTTCCAGCAAGATGGTGCACCAGCCCGTAATCATGTGTGGGTCCGTAATTACTTGGATGGGACATTTCTGGGCCGATGGATTGGCCATGGTGGACCCGTTTGATAGCCACCCCGTTCGCCAGGTTTATCCAGCTTGGATTATTTTTATAGGGCCATCTGTAAAGCATAATTTACGAGACTCCCGTTGATTCACTGGAGGACCTCGTTGCACGACGATCCATTGCGGCTGCAAACGTGCACAAAATGCCTGTCGTTTTTCAAAATGTTTGTCAATCCTTTTTGCGATGTTACCAAGCATCTATTACTGCTGGTGGTCTCAATTTTGAACATTTATTGTGAATATTGTATTGCTTCAAAGAAGCACTTTGCGTTGATTTTGTACATAAACACATTTTCCTCTTGAGTCGTTTTTTTGCGTTCCTGTCTTAACCTGTCACTTTAGACCCTACATTCCTTAAAAAAAAATGCATGTTTTAGTACACTCCACCACCCCTCTGAGTTTGTCCCATGATCTGTGAAATACCCTGTAGAGTCTCTGGGTATTCTTTGGTAACATACAATCTTGACCCTATGTTGAAGACGAAGTAGTGAATTCTCCCTATGTCTTTTGAAAAATAAACTGTAGAAGAAGGTTTAAACTAACCTGTTATTTTAAACCAAAATGAATATATGCATACACTTCATGCTTACAAATCACCACCACTTGTGGCTGTGTAATTTTACAGAAAATAAGAATGTATTAAATCTCTAGTAAATTAAGCTTATGACTAACGCTAAATCAGCTGCACACAGCAAAGTTGAGCCAAGAAATATCAGTATAAACTGAAAGATGTAAGATGTTTAAGACCAAACTAAAGAGCTAATTTTAAACTCGTAGCATAAACATTGAAGTCTAGAATTTGCATCTGTCATACAAAATTTACTTTCTGGTAGAAAACTAAAATCAGGAGGGACAGGAAAGTCAAACAAAAAATAATTGGTTAGAATAAAATAAATCCTTACAATATGACCACCAAAAGCTTGCAATAGTTGTTTGTCATGGAGTACTGTTCTACTTCGATACAAATGGGGGGAAGAATGCATATCTGATACACCTATTCTCTAGTTTTTTGTTGTATGGAACTTCTTTTCATAAATAAAATTTCTTGTGTATTCTAGAACGTCGTTTCCAAGATTAAGCTTTCAGTCTTACTGGCAGATATAAAATTTCAGAAACATAATAAAAATGAGAATTTTGTGGCTATAACATGGAGAATAGTGCCAAAATCACACCAGTTCTGCAAGGCCATCCATATTATGCTGGAAGTAAAGATTATAAAAAAGCATGGGAATTTTTTTTAAAGCTGTAAAGAAGGTGGATTGAAAACTGTTTTAAATATAATGGATGGTAAACTTAAGAAGTAGAGCACTTTTTCAGTTTAAAGTAGGATTTGTGTTTAAATGTTATTTTCAGCTTTTTCCTGAAATCACAGTTTGGATATTTTGCATGAAGGGGGAAAAAAATCCTGGTACAAAAAGTTGTATAGTAAGAAATGCAAATACTTGATATTCTATTTAGGAAAGGCAAATAAAGGAAGAAATTTCGGGTCTAAAATTATAAAAAAACAGTCGTTTTATTTGTTACGTATCTGAATACCAAAACCCTGTATTTAAAATTACATAAAATTTTAGGGAGGAGAGAATGCATTTCAGATATAAAAGCTGCCGTATTTTGTAGACTTGAAACATCTTGTATGATTACGAAATCATGCCAGAGACGTAAGCTGATGTAGATGTCACCAAACTTCAGTTGTTCTGGCAGAAATTTAAAAGAACACGTCATTGTTTATTAGATAATAAGCAGATACAAATGACTGATATATTGTCTGGAAACCTGAAATTGCTTATCATAATTTTTCACTTCATATCATCATTATTTACCCGTTTTCAAATAAAGTCACGTACTATGCCTTTGTTTGATGCCAGGATCCTGTAACTTTAAAAATATTCCACTACATACCTGTCCCGTAGAAGGCAGGTTCAATATATATATATACATTTTTTTTTCAAAATGCTGTGCCATCATTTGTAACTATTACTGTTGTTAAATCACACTGACTACAGTACTGTGCATCCTAATAGTAAAACAAGCTCTATAAAGGCATTTAATTTTTAAGGGAGTTTATTTTTTTCTTAATTAAGAAATATTCTGATTACTCAAGCTTTCAGATTAGTAGAATGTCTTTGTTGTTGGGCTTTTATTGTACTTCAAAATCTGTGAAATTTTACATGAGTTTGTTTTAAGATTAGGCAAAGAAACCATTCCTGCTAATAAGGAGCCATGAACTCTACATTTGTAAATTCCATTTAATATTGTAAAACTGTCTTTGACAATTAATTAAAGTTTCATTGCATTCATTTGCGACAGAAAGAATATTGACGTGTATAATGTCATCGATCGTTTTATATGTAATGTTATATACCCTTCAATGTGTGTATGTACAGTGGTGAGATTTAAAAATTGAGATGCAATGTTGCAATTCTAAAAATGAATTAAATGAAGTAATATGTTTAAAATCCACTATTTGAGTTTTTTTGAAATGTTGATAATCAATTGTTTAAATTGAAAGTGATTACTTTTGTTGTATTAATTTTTTTAATTGTGTTCTATTTCATAATTGTTTAATTATACTTTTGTGTATGTGCGTGTGTGTAGTCTGTAATTGTATAATTGATATGGTGTCAATTAAATTTTTTAGGGCGAATTTCAAACACAGAGAGAAGCAGCATGGGCTATTGGCAATGTAACCATCAGTGGTACTAAAGCACAAGTAGCTTATTTAATCAGTCAGAAAGTCATTCCACCCCTTTGTAACCTTCTTACAGTCCATGATCCTCAAGTAGTACATGTTGTTTTGGATGGTATTAACAATATCCTAAAATTATCTGGTTTTCAGTTTTATTCCATTGCAAGCCAAATTGAAGGAAATGGAGGTAAGCTGAATTTAGTATAATCCATACATTTTTTAACTGAGGTTTTTGATTTGGCAACTTAAGTGATATCTTTCCAAATTTAACTATGTAATTATTAGAAATTCAGAGTCTTAGCAATTTCTGCACTTCCTAAACTGGTTTCATGTATTCTATATTTTCTCCCCAGTTTCATTTTAAAATAACCTGTGTGGAAGCTTTCAAATGTAATTTTTTTTATTAGGTGATATGTATGTAGCTAATGTATCTTTTGCTCTGGTCATATTTAGTCTGGTCTTTTGCATGTATTTGGTCATAATTAAGAAGAATACATCAGATTCATGGTTTTATGGACTATCTCATGGGTCTGGCAAAGTATCTTGTAAAGCTGATAATTTCCTTTCTAAATTATGAACAAAAATTCCACTTTCTCCCTCTCTTTTTTAATGCTCTTTTATTTCTTCTGCTTCTCTTTAGACACGAAAAATTTTGAAGATTTTATGGAATTGGTAAAGCTAGTTTCTGGAAACCCAAAATTTTCTGGAATTGGTGGAAGAGTGGGTAATCTCCAAATCTTTAGAATTAACCCTTTGCGCTCGAGGTGCTTTTCTGTCGGGTGAACCAGCAACTCGAGAGTAATCAGCCACTTCCACTTATATTATGAGTTCTTTATTGTTAACTTAAAATAATTTTAGACACAATAAAACACTTTTAACTCATATTTTAACATTATACATATTTTTTTAACTTAATGAAACATATGTCTTAAACATTGCGTTCTAAAATTTTGCTTCGTATGATATTTTACAAAACAATCTCCAATATGCATCTTTGGCTTGTTGGGGCATGTGTCACAGTAGTATACAGTTTGTCGCCTTTGGGACGTTCTTTGGGAGCAAACCTTGCAATCTTTTTTTTGCCCCATCAAAATAATATGCAGCTTCCCATTTAGTCAGATCGCTTCAGAAATGCTGTGTGAAGTAGAAGCTGTGCTGGGTTGTTTTTGTCGAAAGTCTCCTCTCAGTTGATCCACTAAAGTTTTCAAATATTGTAGGTGACTAAGCGGCCGTTCGTTTCTCTGCTTCTTTACTGATTTATAAAGAATGTATGAATTGATGGAGCAGATCTCCAAACCCCCCAAAAAATAGTTTTCGCCACCATTTTACGGATTTTCTTAAAAAACAATATGTCGAAGCCAGTTGGTCAGCTCGATCAACACCGCTCATAAATTTGATGTAATTTACAATAACATTGGGCTTTTTTATAACGACTTCAATACCGCCTCGTAGAGTTCTTCTTACAGGAGTTATTCCCGCATTATTCCAAGTAGTCAAAGCCGTCACAATCCTCTTGTCCTTCCACGCAAGAACCAAAATATTACCTTTACGATATGCACATGTGGTTCGATTCTCAAATTTTGGCTTTCGTATTTCACATGGCAGGTGCTTTCTATTTGTCATGATCGTCCCAGTTAAGTGGCACTTTTGTTTGCGTAATTCTTCCGCCAATATGTAACTCGTATAATAACGGTCCGTGAACATGTGGTGTCCCTGAACACCGGGAATTTTATCCTGTATCATTTTGTATAGATGTAGCGGTATTCTGGTTGATACCGGTAGATCGGGTCTTATCAAAGTCTCTGTTGTTAGAGATCCATAATACGGCAGAATAGCACAAATGAAGCCGGTATTTGAATCTGCGAGCGTATAAACCCGAATACCCCATTTTGTAGGTTTCATTGGATTGTACGTAATGAATGATATGCGGCCTTTGAATTTGACAGTCGACTCATCCACACAAATCTGCTCTCCGGGTACAAAATAATTCAAGAACCTTTCATTTATATACTCGAGGAAACCAGATACTAACTGCAAACGGGTTCTAGGGTTTGTGTTTTCTGAGGGTATTGTCTTGAGGTGAAGTCTCCAAAATATTTGACAAAATCGGTCTCTCGTAAACGTGTCTGAGTAAAACGGAATATAACTAGTATCATTTTTCGACCAGTATTCTTGTATGTTTGCCAGTGGCATTGTCCCCATATTTATGATTGCCCCAATAAACGCCCAAAATTCGGTAACTGTTACATCGTACCATGATCGCCATATAGAACGGGATGATAAGGTCTTCCCTTCCACCTTCCTTGCAGCGTTATTGTTAGTTTCCTGCACTATGTCAGTAACTAATTCCTCGGTGAAAAATAATTTGAAAAAAATCTATTGGTTCTTTTATGTGTGCAAATACGTGCGGTCCTACTTGTCTTTCACCGGATACAAACGGTATTCTTCTGGGGATTTCTTAGGATTCTGTGCACACTGTCCATTCTGAAGGTTCAGTCTCTTCTGTACAATCACTTTGGCTTCCAGATTCACTATCGATTATTCGTCTTCTTGCTCCTTTAGCGTCGTCACTATCTTTATCACTTCCATCTTCGTTCTCATGGGCAAGCTGTCTATGTAGTGATGTAATTTCGTTCGTTATTGCTGAAAAATTAAACTTATCTTCGCTAGAAGTAACTTCTTCGTCGTGTTCTATACTTATTGGGCTCAGTAACTTTGAAAGAAATACTGCGATCGGCAAGAAGGTTGAGTTCGAACTGATGTCGAAGACAGAGTCCTACCTGCGTTCGCAAGTATTCTTGAGATAAGACATTTAATCACATAAGCATTGCAAAGACAACCTTTATTTGAGATAAGACATCCTTATAGCTATTCAGACACCTCGTAATATGATCTACAAAAGGCCAAGTATATCTCTTAAGCGATATTCCTTAGGTCAAACACAAATAAACACATTGATTCGAATGGTGCCTCTCAGGCACCGCTCGAGTTATCGCAACACATGCAGTGGTGCCCGAGAGGCACCGCTCGAATGCAAAGGGTTAAACTTAAGTTCATGATAATCTAAGTGATGCCATCATAACAAGATATGCTTCTCATGCTGATATTCAGTTTAATTTAGTCAACAAAAATGGCTAAATTCCATGGAAAATCAGCAGTCTATTCTTAGTGGCCAAAGAGATTGGCTGCATATGCTTTTCATATTTTTTTCCATATTCATTCAGATCATAGAGAGATTCTAAGTTATTGTAAAAAGGATAACATTCTAATGAAATAATAGTTTCAAGAATTAAAAACTTAGAAATTCAAGAAAGGGGTGTAGAGATTTGTGGACTATTACTGAATTTTCAAGCTTCTTTGACAAATATCAGTAAAGGAAACTACCTGAAGAAATGACTAATAAATTGTGATTATTTATAAATAAGCTGCATCCACTTTCAAGGTGAAAATAAAGCATATGAATTCAGTACCTTGAAGCAAAATTAGTAGCATAATGCAGAAGCCATAGTTTCACAGATAGCAACTACTGCACACATTTAATGCCATTTTAATTATGAAATTAGAGCAAATAATTTTCCAAATTTCCTGAGAAATATTTTTAAGGATTTTCAGAACTGTATGACTGCTGAAACTATTTTTAAAAACTACAAATACAGTCAAAATAACTACTCTTATATTCTACAGCAGTAGAAATATACAGATGAACAAAGTGAGCTCAAAGGAATGAAATTATTAAATCTAAAATATGGTATGCAATGAATATTTGCCTAATTACCTATTTTAAAAGAATGGAATCTAATGCATGTGGTTGGTAAGGATTTAAAACAAAGCTTCAGGTTCTTAGATAAAACACAGCAAATCATAATCTATCTATATATATAAAAGGAAGAGTCTGTCTGTGTCTTTCGTTCGTATTGCGCGTAAGCTAATAGATCAGGGCTACGAAATTTGGTACATAGGTGCATCTAGGCAAGAGCCAGTGCACTTCAGAGCAATTTTTTTCAAAATTCGAATGAGTTTTTTTTTTTTTTTTTTTAGTTTATGTTTTTTGATAAAATTGCATCAAAAGGATAAACAGCACACAGCCATTGTTGCTGAAATATCACTGTTGTTGATATCAGCACTGTTGCCACTTGGAAAAATGAAGGCAACAATTCTGTGCAATTTTTAAATTTAATGTTTCTGTTGGATGCTGGATGTTTGTCAAGAGAAGCCAACAGGAAGTTGGTTTATTTATTTACTAGGATAATTAATATTTTAAGGAATATTGCTTATTTCATTGTAATTTTTTATATGTAATATATTTTTATTGAAATATGTGTTTATTCACTCTTTCTTTCTTTTCTTTTTTTTTTTTTTTGATAAAGTTGTTCTGCAGAGTAAAATGCTATGCAGTTTTTAAATTTAATGTTTGGAGTTCCCCTTAGGCATTTTTCCAGTACATTTAAAAGCCAGACAAAGGCTGACTGCATAGCAGTTAATATTATTAAGCAAGATTAAGATATTAAGCAAGAAGCAGTATGGAAATAACCTAATTCACGGTTTTATTACTAATTTTATGTCAGGGATATTTAAAAACTCTTATATAGTGTTTTTTTTCTTATGTTATAAAATATTTTTTTATTCCAGTACTTTTCTTTAATATTAAGTTACAAATACTTTAAATAATAATATTCATACCTGGATACTCATTTGGAAAAGTATATCTTCATTCTTTCTGGTGATATTATATATAATCAAGATTTTAGAATTACAGTTTTCATATACTTCTACTTTCAGTGCTTGCATTTTGAGAAATTATTCAAAATACTGTTATAAAAAAATGAAAGTCATGCTATGATTGTAATAATGAAAGCTATCCACGTTTTAAATAATCAATTTGTTCTCATTTAGGTGCATACAGTTGCTGGATAAGTCACTTTCAGTTTTGTTTAAATATTTGTGTTGCAGTTCATCTTGCACATTTTTTAAATATGTTAGTTGCCATTGGTAAAAAAGAATAATTTAAGGCCCTGCACACAAAAATCCATTATTAAATTATTACTTGAATCTAATCACAACCATATATATATATGCTTTGTGAAACTTGGGGGATTGGGGGAACTAACATAGTATAATAATGGGTAACATACCTTAAGTCTTGGTGCACCATCACTTTCTGATTTATTTAGACCTAAAAAATAATCAATATTGCTACATTAATATAACTATTTTTTGCAAATTAAATTACACTTCATTTAAAATTATTAAAAATATCTTATTATTGAGATTATACATATGCTTGATTCTGATCTTCAAACAAAACACGAGGAAACAATTACTCAGGAAGCATTTCATACATCAAAAAGAAGTTAATTTCACCTAGGAATAAAGTCTCATCTATAATAATACTTTTTATTGACAATTGATGATGCATAGGATCATTCATTTATTTTTGATATTATGAAAATATATAGTTCTTCAGAAAAACAATCTTTGGACCTCTTAATACTGTTTTGCTACAAGTGCTATTTTATACCATGAATGATTTTGTGCTATAAATAAAATACGTTTCCAGCAATCTCTAAAAGTTCTACAGTAAAATTTTTAATTCTCTCTCTTTACTTAATTACTTTCTCTGCACTGTCGTCCCCCCAAAAAACTGTTTATGGTATTTTGTAGCAATATACAGGTTGCAAGGTTTCCTCTGTCTCTTCCCCCTCTCCCAAATTTTCTTTATGTCACGATTCCCTCCTTTTTTTAAAGATATATTTTTAACTCTTTTTATTTACAATATTTTACGCTAAAAAGATATTCAGAAACAAATTCCAGAAGTTTTAAAATTGAAATTCTTTTTTAAATATAATTTTATTGTTGAGTATAAAGATTTAGTTTTAGGAGTTGACAATGGCAGCTATTATTTTTATTCATGAAGAGAAGGAAATTATTTGTGTGATATTTTACATTAAAAAATTTTTTTTAAATGGAAAACTCTTTTTTGAGGTGTTAAACTACTGTCTAACGTTTCCAGATTGCAAGTTCTACTTATTAATATTTTAAGAATATCATAATAATATAAATATCCTAATTTACTTTGTAAAAAGCAATCTAAATGATATCTGTTAATGCTCTAATACAATTTTATAAATCACATTCACAGTATAACTCTAACAGAAATACTGTTAGAATCCTGAAGGACCACTAATAAAAGATAAGTCTTTTATTTTTTTTCTGATATTCCTATTTTCATATTTTGAGGTATGCTAAACTTTGAAAAATAGAGTATAAAAGAATTTGGGACAAAATCACTAATATCCAGATATTTTAACTGCTTATTTTTAGAATATCTAATATGATGAGTGATGTGTTATGTTAATATACTAACAAATTACTTCTACGGTACAATATCCTTAAAATTTTTAGATTAATGACAAAATCGTAACAATAAAATATTTGAAATTTATGCTTTTAATGAAGGGAGTAATTTTTATAAGAGTGATGACTAATTCAAAAGTACTGATGTATTACATACTAACAGAATACTATATGAACATCAATTTTAATAGTGAAATAAAAACACCTCACGACTGTTCCACCAGATACACAATCTACCTTTCACAAGAATAGGAAGAAAGTTGAATTTCTGTTTCATTTCCATCGAATGTTAGTACTTTTATTATCAAGTTCCAATGGTAGGAAGATGACTTCCTATTTCATTTTCATCAAATGTTAGTAACTTGACAACTTTAGTATTTCCAAATCCATTCTGAAAGACAAAGACAAATCTATTCTAAAAGATAAACACTATGTCCTGAAGACTTACAAAACTTTATACATCCCCTCTTATTTCATTATTTGTATATGTATTTTAAACACTTTCATTATTTGTATATGTGTCTGATGTTTACTCAGTTCTTCACAAAAAAACAGCAGTAAATAATAATATTAATAAAGATAATATAGAATCATTTAAAGAAAATATAATATGATGGCCAAACTATCATTATGCTAGTCTTTAGATTATTAAATAAAATTATCTACAAGGTGCAATGAAGTTTTTAAAAGTCACCAAACAATTGTTAAGTAGAAAGGCATTGGCTCTTTTCTTATTTACTGGTCACACATTTCTGCAGTTAATTGGAAATTAAAATTAGGATTAACAAATTTAGAAACATAAATTAACTTTATAAAAGTTTCAGAAACAGCAGAAGGAACTACAAAAGCGTCACTGCTTATTAAAATATTTTATTTAAGCAATGGGTAATATATCACTATTCCTATTTTTCTAAAACACTGCAGATAAAATCTTGTTTTTGGTGTGATTATTACTGGAGATGTGTTTTAAGTTGTAATAATAAATAACCCTCTTTTTATTATTTTTTAATTTAGAAAAATATAACAATGATTGTTTTCAATATAAAACTTCATTACTTACAACTATGCATATCATGGAAGAATAGATAGTGTAGAGTAATAGTACGAAATTAAACTAACTGCAGTAAAAACTTTTGCTTACTTAAACTAGGAAGTTAACAAATCCACTTAGAAGATCATAATTACAAGCGCAGTCACAAGGAAATATGGAATTTCATACACAAAATATAATACAGTCAAAAGTCGTTAATCCGGACTCGTCAGGACTTCGGCGATTCCGGATTATCGATTTTTCCAGATTATAGATCATCAGTTTAAATCTCGTAAGATGGCATGCAGAAATTCTAAAATTAAAAATATGAAACCGTAATTTATGAAATAAAGAACAATTATGATCTAAAGGGTATCAAATTTCCAAAAAGAAAAAGCTTAATATTTATTTGTTTACTTAAATAAACCTTCTTTCGATGTAAGTTGTTTAAGTTTTGCTTCGTTTCATGTGATAATGCTTCTCTTTTAATTCTATTAAACAGACATAATTTCTTGTTCAGTTACCAAGTTCCGCTGTTCAAGTCCTATAATTGCTGTGTCAAGAACACCGACTAATTTGTCAATCGAAATTTTTTCGTTTTCAATAACCTCTGTCACTTTTCTTCGCTATTGGAAGCGAATTATAATGATGAGGAACTTGTTTTAAATCATATCAAAGACGGAGCATATCGAGATGAAATACAGTCAAAAGTCGTTAATTCGGACACCCATAATCCGGACCTCAAAGCTAAAAACTTTCTGCGCATGCGCCGCGTTGGCACATGCGCACAGACATTTTACGCGTGCGCGTAAGACCTTGACTACTGCGCATATGCGTGTGCACAAGTGCAGAATACGTTTTCGCCTGCGTGTTTAATGTATAACGGACGGTTGTTTGTGTAAGCTAAAATTATCTAATTATCTATTTCAGTTAATGTTAATGATTGCATTGTTCCTTAATCTTCGAATTGGATCCCGCTTATTATTTTTTGCAGACTGTAAGAGCAATTTTATAAAAGGTAAACTTGAACTTTCGATTATGTCAAAAAGAATTTCCGATGATGGAACTTCCAAAGGATCTACAAAACGAAAGTATGTTTCGATGTCCAACAAAAACAAAAAGTGGAAATTTCAAAAAATGGATAGAAAGACATGAAGAATGTGAGAGAGGTTAGTGAAAACGAAAAAATTTCGATTGAGAAGTTAGTCGGTATTCTCGGCAATTTAACGGGACAATTGAACAGGAAGACTTGAACAACAAGAAATTATGTCTTTTATAGAACTTTAGAAAATGAACAGGAAAGAAGCAACTTAAAACAACTAATTGAAAGAAATTAATGAGAAAATGAAATAAAACGAAGCAACTTAAAAAAAAAAGAAATGTTAAATTTAATATTAAGCAAAATAATTGATCCTAATTGTTCTTTATTTCATAAATTAGATATTTTTAATTTTAGAATTTCTGCATGCCATATTACGAGATTTAAACTGATGATCTATAATCCGGAATCGCCGAAGTCCTGACGAGTCCGGATTAACGACTTTTGACTATACTACATTTGGTAAGGAATTATAAGCCAAATAAAATAAAAACATCTGCGCTGAAGATAAGGATAGTACTGACAGATCAACTTCCAATTCATTACGCACCCGCCACGGCGTCCCCCCGCCGAGCAGCGTGAAATTGATAAACAGATTTCGGATTTCAAAACATACTTTCGCTTTAGATCCTTTACATATAAACAAATATATATCGGAAATTCTATTTGATATAATCGAAAGTTTAAGCTTACTTTTATAAAATTGCTCTTACAGTCTGCAAAAAATAATAAGCCGGATCCAATTCGAAACTTAAGGAACAACACAATCATCAACATTAACTGAAATAGATAATTAGATAATTTTAGCTTATACATCCATTATACATAAAACGTGCGCGAAAACGTATTCTGCACTTGCGCACACTCATATGCGCAGTCGTAAAAGGTCTTACGCGCACGCGTAAAGCCTATGTGCATGTGTCAAAGCGGCGCATGCGCAGAAAGTTTTTAGTTTTGAGGTCCGGATTATAGATCATTCCGAATTATGGGTGTCCGAATTAACGACTTTTGACTGTAGTTGCTAAATAGTTGACTCTCAGAAGCTGAATTTATATGATCTGATGAAAATGAAATCAAACCCATATTTTTCCTTAAAATTGGAGGTGCTGTATAAAAATTTAAGAATGATACTTTCATTTTAAGACTTTGTAAAAAGCATATAATTAAAAGGTTGAAAAAATTTAGATTAGAATGGATACACTAATTTCCACATGAAAATTCTTATTAGATTTTGTAAAAAAAAAAAAAAAAAAAAAAAAAAAAAAAAAAAAAAAAAAATTAGAAATACTTCCATTGATGTTTATAGCAATGACTATTTATCATATACAAAAGTTTTCATGCATAATGGAAATTTCAAACACTGAAAAAGAAGACATCAATGCTGTTTCTAAGTTAGGCCATCTGAAGATTTTGACAGCAGATTGGACTAATTAAATAATATAAAATACAAACTGTAGTTTTTAATATAAACAGACATATCAAATGCTTATTGAATAACATGGGAAACTATAATTCATGCAATTTTGAACAAAATATTTATTTGAATAAATATTTGTTTTGAACAAGTTAAACAAAAGATCAAGGAAAGACACATATTTTATGATACAAAGTATCAAAAGTACACCTAATTCTTATATTGTCACAGTAATGGATATGGGGTTTAAAATATGAATCAGAAATCAAATGCATGTCCAGGGTTATTTCCCTTCCTTAAAAAGTGTTTTCAGAATTTGAAAATGAAGATAATTTACTTTTGGCTCAGATGGTGAAAATAATATTATTTACACATTACTTAATATTTGTGGTGAGCAATTATTAGAATTATGCAAGAATACTGACCTTTTGTAACTGGCACTAACTACATGGATGATTACATTAACCTCACAAATCCATAACAATGCATATTTTTGACATAATAATAATAATAAAAATTATCCTCCACTCGGCCTATTTATAAGATTTATTACCATATGACTATTTTCTGTTCCCTAAAATGAAAATGGTAAGGAAGAAAAAGCCTTCTGTTTAATATTGTATGACTCTTATTTTAGTGCAGTGTTTAATAACTCTTCAAATGGCCAGGAGTTTGGCCTCAACACCCTAAACTTCCCCAAAAGGCAATATTATTTTCTTGATTGAGTAAATGGTGTTTTCTTGATCTTAAAAAATCTTATAAATTTAAAATGAGCCTCCTACTTTTTACATTGACTCTTTCCCCCCCCCCACTATGTTTACTATCTTAATTGTCTAAAAACATTTCAAGATGAATTTAAAGGTGTCATGACAATTATTTTTGAACACACACACCACATACATATATATGGCTTGGCTACTTGGTAAATTATGGTTACATTTTATTAATTTTGGGTATTTTATTTAGCCATACGAGATGCAATAAATATGATTACCCTTTTCTTGTATTTGTTGTTATTTCAAGAGAAAATGTGCTAACAATTCATGGCATGGCTTTAACAGAAAAGCACCTTATTTTCATGATGATTTTTCACCCACAAGTTTTTGCTGTCACAACATTTCATAAAAAAAAATTATGCTAATATATTTTTACCTAGAACTTAACCCTAACATATTGCATACATTTGCATTGTCTCTTTCTCCTTATGTTGTACTTTTCCATCCTCAAGATAGAAAGAGAGATATAACATGTTTATTGCTGCAATCAAATCTGCAGTATAAACGACTGCTATGCTTTCTTACAATATTGTAACTATTGAAAATAAAATATTTTAGAAATTTAATTTTTAATTTTACAATGGCAATGATAAAAGTATATTATTTTTTATATTGCATTTTTCAAAACTGAAGAGGAGAACATAAATACTTTAAACTTTATTTAAATAATTTATAAGTCCTTCTAATTATTATATTTTTCACTAATGATCCCTAAAATTTTACATTTTGCAAAGAAAACCCTAAATATACAAAAAGCACATAAATAATCAATAAAACAGAAAAATATTAAAATGTATTTTAAAAATGAACATTACAAACCATCTTTTTCTTTTTCTATTTGTTGTCGAAGAAGTTCTTGTTCTTTTTCCAATTGTCTTGAACCTTCTCTTCGCAGTCTTTCAATCTAAGGAAAAACGGTAATTAGAGTTTTTCATAACTGATTCCTTAAAACTACTAATTCCTGTTAAATCGTTTCAATTAATCTTTTCTTTTCAATGTTCCAACATAAGATATTAACAGGCATTTTCTTTGGATTAAAGTAATAAAGGAAGTCATCAGTTTTAACAGTGACAAGCAATTAAATGTTAAGTTTTGGCAATATTTTATTGCCAAATTATATAGCAAATGCAAACTAAGTAATAAGAGTTGTGAAATTATTTATTTATTTTTAAAATTCAAAATAATAACAATTTTCAGTTTACTATGAAATGAAGATGAAAGTATGGCATTCTCCCAAGAAACAACTATTTTGTCTTCCTCCTGAATTTGCAAAAACAAACATGAATACACTTTTTTTTTAAAAAAATTAATTTTGTATGTTTGGAAATAAATAAAAGCAAGTTTTTCTTTTAAACTTCACTTTTATTACAATTTCATGATTTTAAACCACTCTTTTTTTGTTTTTCTTTTGGGTATGGTGCCTAAACTTGATAGCATTTTTTCCCTAGCAATTGGTTGGAAGTAAAACCAACACCTACTAAAATTTGATTAATAACATAAAAGCCTATGCATTGAAAAATACCTCTTTTTGAAGTTTCTGTGCTGCGTCTATATCCCTAAATTCTTGAGAAGACTTTTCCCTTGCTTCTAAATCTAAAATGAGAATTTCAATGAATATAACTGAATTGGTTAATACAAAGTAATATTTAGAGACAATTCTATTTATTTCATAACTCATTTACAAATCAAATCAAGAACAGATATTGACTTCAAATGAAAAGGACATTATATTGTGCAAATAAATTACCTTTATTGGTGTTATTTTAATATATTTACAATTTGAATAACTGAGTTCTCATATCATTTAAAGAAAAAGTTCATATCAGAATATCACATTACAATTATGGCAAAGTAAAGAGTATATTATCTATGTTACACATATTATAATCAAATTACTACATTTACCATTACAGAATATTTACAGCAGATTTTTTTTACGTTATACATAAAGCATTTAAAAATGAACATATAAATTATAAACATAATTCAGTGAAATACAATAGATGTAGTTTTCCCTTTAATTCTTGTACTCTGTCGTACCAATAGCTGCAATAGACATATAGGTAAATAAGTTCTCTGTTTTAGCAAAGTACATAACAGTCATCTGCCTGAGATGGATGATTTTATTGAAGACTTTCAAGGGAAATAGCATTAATTTATGTTCTAGATGAGAAAAAGGATGAAAATATACATGTAGCTTTTCTGTTCAGTTATCAAAAACCGAACCAATGTAAATATCAGTGTTCAGAAGTTTATTCATATGATCATTGGTAACCAAGTGCATGATGTTGATTCAATAAATGCTTCTTACAAAATTCATGGCTAGCAGACTGTTACAAAAGATTATGGCAGGCAACTACATGCTGATGGGGTCTAGGTATGCTGTTTAATGTACAAAATAGGCCCATAAAATCTGTTAGCTCTAGAGTCCTTTAATTTCATTGGTGGAAGGAGAACGATGGATGAGATCTTCAGATACTACCCTCTGAGACATTTCAGTTAAAACTGGGATATTCTTTGATTGCTGTAGATGGTAGATTATATACTATTTATAACACAGACTTAGTAAAGTAAAAGCTGAGTTATTCAGAAAACTTGGGAGAATGCTGGACGTGTGAAAATTCCAGATAGTTGAGTGGATAAAAAAGTGCAGTTAAAAGTAGAAAAGCCAGGTGAATGAAATAAGAAATTTTGGTACTCATGTAATATCCCATCAATCGTGAAAGTTGGGAGAGATCCCACCAACCTTTGTCAATTGTTTCTGCAGAATTCTGAAGGAATCTAAAGTTGTGCCAACATTCACATGGAATTCTGAAGGAACTGATGCCTCTTTATTTAATAAACAGTCAATATTTGACTCATTTTATTTTGGCACTTCATAAAAATACTTTCATCAGATATTTTCATCTCTTTGATATCTGGTAAATAATCAGAGTTCAATGCCGAGTTTCTGTGATTCTCTGACTTTTTAAAGAAAAAAGAGAGATTGCTGTGTACATGGAGTGAAAAACATCATTAAAAAATGACAGTAGGACTTTTGCAAAAAATGTCAGTAAAAAAACTGCCAACTTTTACACCATCAGTAATTTTTTACTTTCTCAACAGTAAAAAACTGCCAAATCGCACTGCAGTCGCTGCATTAATGTGTATTTTTTTTTTCTTCTTCTTCTAAAAATATTTCTTCCACAGTTGCTTTTTGCTGTTGTTCCTAATGATGTTATACTTCATTTTTACTGAGCTAATTTTTATGGTCCACCAATAAATTTTTCCTGTCTTCATCATTTGCTGCCAGGTTTAATTGAGAGTTAAGCAATGGAAAATGTTAAAGTGATATTTTCAATAGTAACTGAAGTTTTGTTATGTGGCATAGGTTACCTTAAAGTACTTTTGAAAATCATGCATTACCAAAATCGAGTGTTCATAACTGAAGATACTGTTCATCATCTGATTTACTTTTTGTACATGAACTAAATTGTTTAAGAAGTAAGGTGTTCATGATCCCAGTTTCCAGTGTATATAATAATAATATAAGTCATAATATCATGAATATAAGAACTTGAAGGGTTGCAAAATTTTTTTTTCATTGCACTTAAGAGTCTGTAATAAATGGATCTGCTACATTGGTATTTGACTGGGGAAAAAAAAAAAAAGAAAAAAAGTAAATGCTTCTCTTTAAGATTACCTTTCCTTTGGCAATAGCTAAATAAAAAGCAACTTTATCAATCAAAACAAAAATTTTACTCCATGATTTAAAAACAAAAAATGCCAATCACAGTAAAAAAAATTAAACAAATTACAGTCAAAAGTTGTTAATCTGGACTCGTGGGGACTTCGGCCATTCCGGAATATCGATTTTTCCGGATTATAGATCATCAGTTTAAATCTGGTAAGATGGCATGCAGAAATTATAAAATTAAAAATATGAAACCATAATTTATGAAATAAAGATCAATTATGATCTAAAAAGTATCAAAATTTACAAAAAAAAAAAAAAAAAAAAAAAAAAAAAAAAGAGCTTAATATTTATTTGTTTACTTTATTAAACATTTCTTTCAATGTAAGTTGTTTAAGTTGCTTCGTTTTATGTGATAATACTTTCTCTTTAATTCTATAAACAGACATAATTTCTTGTTTAGTTATAGAGTTCCGCTGTTCAAGTCCTATAATTGCTGTGTCGAGAATACCGATTGATTTGTCAATCAAAATTTTTTCATTTTCAATAACTTCTGTGTCACTTTCTTCACTATCGGAAGCAAATTATAATGACGAGGAATTTGATTTAAATCATATCAAAGACAGAATACATCGAGATGAAATACTACATTTAGTAAGGAATTATAAGCCAAATAAAATGAAAACATCTGCCCTGAGGATAAGGATAGTGCTGACAGATCAACTTTGACAATCAATTCATTGCGCGCCACGGCTTCCCTCCCCCCACCGCAGAGCAGCGTGAAATTGATAAACAGATTTCGGAATGGTTAGGCCATTTTTTGCAGCAATTCCACTTTTGTTTAATGGACTTCGAAACATACTTTCGCTTTGTAGATCCTTTACATATTAGTAAATATATATCGGAAATTCTATTTGACATAATCGAAAGTTCAAGCTTACTTTTATAAAATTGCTCTAACAGTCTGCAAAAAATAATAAGCCGGATCCAATTCGAAGATTAAGGAACAACGCAATCTGCAACATTAACTGATTAGATAATTTTAGCTTAGGTTATACCATCCGTTACACATTAAAGCGCACACGCATATTCGCAGCCGTAAAGGTCTTACGCGCATGCGCCAACGTGACGCATGAGCAGAAAGTTTGTAGCTTTGAGGTCCGGATTACAGATCATTCCGGATTATGGGTGTCCAAATTAACGACTTTTGACTGTAAAAAAATTATTAACCTGATCAAAACTAACTATAGTTACTGTAAATAATTATTATGGTACCACAGGAAATATTCTTTGATATAGACATTTTTTTGTAACTTTTCATACTGCTTTTAAGAAAAATTAATAAATATACCAAACAACTTCGAACTTAAGACGCACTTTTTATTCAAATTTTCAAAGATATAAGGTTAGGGTTCAGTTTAAATTCAAAGCAAATAAACATCTTACTTCTGCCCAAGGTAATAGTATATCTGAAGATTCTCAATAAATTAAGTAGCTTAGTACTTATATTACTACTTATTTAAATAAACAAAAATGTTTCTTATTTTTCAACACCTACTATAAAACTATTTTTATTTTTGGTACTCTGTGATTATTCACGCACACCTCCTGAAAAATCGACAATTCTTGGCAACTGTTTTTTCGGCTACCTAACATGTGAAAAATGAAACTAAAAATGTAAAATATGTGATTTAAGTTTATATAATGAAACACTGAAAATTACATAAAAAAGAAAACTAATTAACTAAATTAAAAACACAACGAAGATACATAATAAAATACTTAACCCTTTGATGGTCATGAACAAGCTCAGCTTGCATTCTAGTTATGCACTGCAGTGGGCACACATGGACAAGACTGCACTACAAATTTATGACTGACAGATATTGTACATATTTGGTAAGAAAGAAATATTTCTATAATATAATGATTTAATCTTGCAACTGCCAAAGGCATAACTTTCTTTTTAGCCAGTTCTTCCCCTGTTCACAGCAATGTTTTAACTTAAAAATAATCAGAAAATTGCACAAATGAACTTCACAGAATGTGCATACATATACTGTCTATTACAAAATCTCATATTTCTGAAAAAATTCAAAACTTCTCCTTTTATTAGCATGGAAGCTCTATAGTGACATTACAATTTGTTACAAGAAAGAAAAAACTCAACAAGCTAATCACAACAAGCAGACAGCACAAGCATGACCTTCAAATTTCATTTAATGCACAACCATTAGTGAATTGCCAGATAAATACATACCTGTAAAATTTTGCATTGAATACTTTGGTGACATAGCACTTTGCCTGGTGATTCTTGTTAGGGCTGGGCAGATAACCAGAGAATACCATATTTTAAAATTTTTTTTCCTAATTCTCCAATTCAAAAATTTTAACTGAGCTAAAATTTGAGGGTTCTTATTTTTCAGTATGTTTTTCTGATTTTAAAATTCCATTGCAGCTTAAATTAGAAGAAATATGGCATTAATCATTTTTACTTAGTGATAGCAAGTAATAAGATTACAGAAAAGAATTAACATATTTAAATGCTTAAACTATGAATTTCGAATCTAATAAATTCAGTAATTAAATTTTAATCATAATAAATTATACGAATAATTTGCTTTGTTAAAATATAAATTTTAATTGTTGAATTATTTTAATATGCCAAAAGTATTTTAAAGATCAATCATATCATAGAGACTTGGAAAAATCAGGATTTTTAAGGCAGGTCGCATAATTGTTACCAGTTATTCTGGATATATGATCTGTTCAGTACCATAAATTCTTGTTTCTGTTGTATTTTGTTTTATTTAATACAAAGATCTAATGTATTTTGCTACTTAAATTCATTCATAAAATATTAATTTAGAAAAAGAATTTTACTACAATATTTAACAAATGTTAAATATGTTAATGTTATAAAAATGTTAAATGTTAAATCGTCGAAATATTAAATAACCTATCAAAATTGATGGGTTATTTAATATTTTGACGATTTATAAAATGTTCAATTTAATGTGTTTAACAAAAACAGAAGTTTTTAACTATTTTAACACTATTATCTAAACAAATAAATTAAAACTAAACATACTGTGGGAAGGAAATTACCCACTGAAAAGAAGAAAAGAAATATTTTAGAATATGAAATTACCTTCCTTTAACTTCTTTCTTTTGCTGTCCAATTCTCTATGCCTGACTTGAGCTGCTTTCCTGGCTTTTAAAACTTTATCGTATGCAGCCTAAATTAGAGAAAAATAATTTGGTGGAAGTTATACAGAATAATAAATAAATAGCCTGTATGTATAGTTAAATCCCATATACATAGTCTGGACTATGATTTTCCCATTTACTCAACAAAACTAAATACAAAATCTTAATTTAATAAACTACCAAAGATTAAATTAATTAATTTTTTAGAAATTAAACTTAAAGTCACTCAGTTCAACAGACAATTTTAACATGTTGGCTGCCCTATGAGTTTTCACAATTTGAGTACAGAAGCCAATTTGATTTAATCATAGTATTTCAAATCCCAATCATAAAAATAGTCATAAAAATATACGGATTTTTTTTTAATGTTTTGTGATATTTTCATATTATGAAGGTCTTCCAAGTTATTTCGCAACTGGTATATGTATTATGCTATATTAGAGAATTATCTTCATTTTCATGTCACCAAATTCTGCTGCTACTGTGTATAGGAACAAGTTTATCATTTAAAATAAAGTATAAAAACTAGTGATAGAATAACTACAGAATGATTCAGACACCTTAAATCTGATAGTTAAACACAATACAGTGGCATAGCTAGAGTTTTTGCCACTGGGGGTGGTCCCTTAATTTGCTGCCCCTCTTGATACATAAAAAAATAACTAAACAAGTGTTAATCTGACATATAGGAAAATAAATTAAAACTCTACATTTATTTTTTAAGAAAAGCTTTAATTCCAATATTTTAAAATTATATTATTTGGTACTTTTCCATTTCGGCGGCACAAATCTTGCCAAGCAGACTTTATTAGCGACAACATATAGTATACACATAAAAAATATTAAAAAATTTTAGTTCTAAGAATTTTTTATTTTGAAGACATAAACATTTTAATATTGTTTAAAATTTTTAAAAAGCTAATACATAAACACAATAAATTTATAAAAAGACATTAATTTAAGAATTTACCATGCTATCATGGTTCAACATCCTGATTTGCCGGTTCATATCACATGACCCCAAGTAATCTCATCTCACATAAACTATGCTACAAAAATCTAATTCTTTCAGTAATTATCTAGATTAATTTAAGTTAAATCTTAATTTGGAATATAAGTTTAAAAGCAAAAATTATTTCAAACTGTTTGAATAGCTTACTCGGAAATTATGTTAACTACAATGCTTTACTTAGCTAGTGCATTCTCATTAGAATTGATGAATTTAACCCTTGACTTTGCCTTTTCTATATTTTCAGCTTTGGGTGAGTGGTGTGATTGCATCCTTGGCTTAATTACTGTGAATGGCCTTAGGGCATAAAATTGAACTACCTATTAAAAATTCTATGTATGCCAGTATTGAAAGAAACAATCAATCTGATAAGAATAATGCGACTTGTTGAAAATGAGGTGTAAAACATTACCATCGAGGATAATCTGTTTGGCATCAGTTGTACCATTATTGGCGACTTTATCACCTGTGCTAGCAAAATGGAAAAGTACCTATTATTTTACTGCTTGCTTTTCTGTAGCCAGATCATAGATGACATTGTAGATGTATGCTTGATCGCTCCAGTTGCTATTATGAAGACAGTATAAAGAGGTTTCTTAAATACAGAATAAACATTTTTATTTCTTAATGATTTTTATTTAGAACACTCTTTCCACAACTAGCAATAGTTACAACAATGGTGAGGAAAGTTAGTTACTGTTAATGCTCACAATGGAGCTACAACAAGACGCTTACTGATCGTGCATAGACAACTGGACCTGGACTGATCTAAAGTGACCACGCGTAGGTGGTCAGCTGTATCATTTATCTATGCCTACCGGAACAAACATTGTGATTCCTCTTCTAAAACATACTCGTTCCATCTGTTCAAACACATCCCATTTATCTTTTCTTTTGTAAATCAGGAAATAAAACCTGATGCTTGGAACAGTGGGTGTGATCTCTGTTTAATGATAAGACATCACCTCCACAATTATGAGGTGTCGAAGCTGGTTAATTTCAAAATAAGGTACTATGAAAACTTGTTTTAGTGCTACTTCTGTTTTGTTTTTAAAATGAATGTCTTAAATAACTCAAACAAAACAAGAGTGATTTAAACTTAATCACTGAAAAAATTGGAGAGAAATATTCCAGAAAATGTGAAAAAAGCTGATATTAAAAAAATTACTGAAAATTCGGATGTCTTCAAAATGAACATTGAATTTGTTCATGGCACTGTCAACTTGACTGCGAAGAATTGGACACCTAAAGTAATGAACACTATCTGTTAGAGATCGAACATCTTAAGTTAGCCCAAATTGAAAAGCAGATCAAACTAGACAATTTAAAATCATAATCGTTATCTGGTAATAGGTGAAATGCACAGGCTGATATTGAAAATTTAATAAAAACTATTAAAATGCGTGAAATCTCTGTTTCTGAGTGACCAGAGGCATTGCATTTGTTTTTCATTTTATTGGAAAAAGTGTTTGCAACCAAAGAAGTTCTGAAAGACTTACAATCTGAGATGGGGTTAAAGCTAATAATGTTTTAATGTATGCAACTGAAGAAATTATCGAATAATGGGAAAACTAAAAGAGTTACTTTTAGCTGAATTTAAGTTGACACTAGGAGAGATTCTTAACACCTTTAAACATGCTCAACGAGTAGCAAAGGAGTCGCATGTTCAGTTTGCATCGCCATTGACTGCAACATTCCAATACTATTGTGAAACACAGAAGGATTTTAAGGAGTTACATGATTTAATTGTTGCAGATAAATTGTATGAAACTTTGGATTTTAAGATGAAAGAATATACAGGTGCTTGTGAGGGATGAATACGGTTTAATCCAACTCAGTTAGGGCAAGAATGTGATTTATATTTTTCCTCCCGAGAAAAGTCACCATATGAAATGCATAACGCTAAAATTCAGTCTAATGAATCGAAAATAGCAGGTGTTCAAAATCGAAGTATTAAGAACGACTCATTCCATCAAAATAAACACAAAAGCAAACTGGATATCATTTTATCTGCACCTGAAAGATCATGTTATGTTTGTGAGGGATAAGGCCAAAATTTTCATTTTGGTAGGGATTGTGTAAAATATAAACAAAGTGAATCAAATAAGGAAAAAGGGGGCAGTGTTAATGATGTCAGTTTTATTCAAGAGTTGCAATATGCTGATGTTTTACAGGAAAATGTAAAAATAAAATTACTTCTTGATTCAGGTGCTCAAGTTCATGTGATAATTCATCATTAATTGAAATAAGAACACCACTGGAGGGTAAAATAGCACTTAGCCTTTGTTTTATAAAGGGGGAAAAAAAAAAGAGAGAGGCAAATATTTATAGAATCTTTGAACCACAATTCACCAAGGTTAGAAATTATCATTGCAGTCATGAAAAAACTAAATTTTTCTTTTAATTTTAACACCAAACATTTATTCTCAACTTCTAAAAGTAAGGAAAAAAATAAAACACCATTTACCAACACTGAAATTTCTTTTCAGTGAATCAAGTGAAGATCATTCATTCATTTCAGTGAATAAGTGAATCATCTTTAGAAGAGTATTTTTTATTAAATTTTGCAAATGTGACTAATGGATGTGATCCAGATTTCTTTCAAGTTACTGATATCAATATTTGAAGGATTTATTGCTATTGATTAATAATTATAAACCAAATCAAAACAAAGACACGAATTCAAAAATGACTGTTGTGTTAAAAGATGATATTCTGGTATTGCAACGGTCTCAGAGACTACTGCTGAACAAAAAAATGTTGATAAACAGAGAGATGAGTGGTTGCAAATGGGGATAATTAAACCATCTTGTTCTGAATATGCATCCCCAATTCTATTATGTAAAAAATCATAATGGAACACATCGATTATGTGTTGACTTCAGACAATTAAATAAAAAAGTGATGAAAGATTCTTTTCCTATGGCTCAGGTTGAGGAAGTGCTTGATCATTTAGTGGAAGCGAAAATTTTTTCAACTTTAGATTTGAAAAGTGGGTTTTTCTACATGCCAGTCGATGAAAAATGTACCAAATATTTAGCATTCATTTGTCATGCAGGTTTATTTGTACTTTTAAGGGCTCCATTTGGTTTGACCACAAGTCCTAGTGCATTTTAAGTTTTATCTATAGTGTATTCAGGGAATAATGCAGGATAATACAGTTATAATTTATATGGATGGTTTTATCATATCTTCCCATGATGAAACAGAGGGTTTACAAAAACTTAAATGAGTTTTAAAAGTAGCTTCAGAATATGGACTACAAATTAATTTTTAAAAATGTCAATTCCTAAGAAGAAAAACTGAATTTCTTGGTAATTTAATTGAAGAAGGTACGAATCATCCACCTAGTGTTGCCAGATCGTGCAATTTTTTGCAAATTTGTGACTTTTGACAAACTTGTGCTACTAAAATTTTAGTATTTGCGGCTTTGCAAAATCCATTATTTTCTTTTGCTACTTTTTTTGACTTCAAAGATTTTTTAAATATATCGAAAAATGCTTTTATGTTAAAATAATGTATCAATTAAAAATAATTTATATATATATTAAAAAAAAAAACAACAACTTTATTTAGGCTTAAAAGGAAGTTGGCATCTGGCAATCTGGTTTACATGTGGGCTTCCCTTTTCAAGACTTTTTGACCTGATGCTGGTATAACGAGAAAAGGGTACGGGAAGTGAGAGAAGTGGAAAGAAAGGGGGAAAAATGCTTTGGGACCTCTCACCACCCTCCCTTGTCGCCCGTTTGTTTTGAAAGTCAATTCCTCCCCCCAGTTTTATGGTGATAATGAATCAAACCAAAGAACTTGCAACTTGCATGCCTTATACTGAGTACACCAAACAGATAAAGAAATGAAATTCATACTCCTGATAATAATATTGCTAAGAACTAAGTAATGGAAATGACTTAAAAATCAAAGCAATGACATTTTCTAAATAACAACACAAATACATTTAACAATGAAAGAACTAAGGCTTTCTTAAGTAATCAGAATCTGAAACAGATCTATCACATAGAAT